ACCATAATAGCCCTATTTCTCGTATCAAACATTTTTACATTGAGGTTCTGCAAAAGGAAATCACTAATTCACCAACATTCCAACTGACTCCATTTTCGGAAAATGACATCTGTAACAAACATAAACTTTAAGCTACCTCTTTACAAGCAGAACCAAATACAATGAAAGTTCCAACTATGTACTGGCTTCCGAAGCTGCACAAAACACCTTACAAAAATAGATTTATTTCGTCTTCAAGCCATTGTTCCACTACTAAACTATCTATTCTACTTACAAGAACACTTGGTACAATCAAAAACCTGATAATAAATTGTTCAAATAAGGCCTTTGAAAATAGTGGAATTAATTTCTTTTGGAGTGTCAAAAATTCGTTGGAAGTATTTGATAAATTGCATGCTTATATTGGTGATTTCGAATCTGTTCAAAGTTTTGATTTTTCTACTCTGTACACCACTTTGCCTTATAATCTTATTAAGAAAAAATTCACACACCTAATTAAATGGGCATTTAAAAGGTCAGAATGCGAATATATATGTTCAAACTCTTTTAAGTCATTTTTTAGTAACAACAAACAAAAGAACTATGTCAATTGGACCTGCTTTGATACTATAACTGCCCTTGAATTTTTACTAGATAATATTTTTGTTCGCTATGGAGATTCTGTATATCGTCAAGTTATCGGAATTCCAATGGGGACTAACTGTGCACCACTTATTGCGGACCTGTTTCTGTATTGTTTTGAGTTACAATTTATGACTAAAATTAGCAAAGACCCATCGAAACAACATCTGATACAAAAATTTAATAACACTTTTAGATATTTGGAGATATATTGGCTCTCAATAATGACGACTTCAGTATGTACACTAAAGAGATATATCCTGCTGAACTTACTTTAAAAAAAGCTAATACTAACAATGAACACTGCCCTTTCCTGGATCTTTATATCTTTAACGGGAAGCTTAATACCAAAATTTATGATAAAAGAGATGATTTTTTCATTTCCTATTGTTAATTATCCATTTCTAGATGATAATGTGCCCTTGTCACCATCTTGTGGTGTTTATATATCTCAACTTGTTCGATTCGCTCGTGTTTGTAACAACGTATTTGATTTTACCGAAAGAAATCTCTGTATTACTGAAAAATTATTACACCAGGGTTTTCGATATCACAAACTAGTTAACACATTTACTTAATTTTATCATCGGTACAAGGACATTCGTAAATATGAATCAACATGCAGACACCTTAAACGTTCAGGTATTTCACATCCCATTTTGTATGGTAATATTATATACAAAGCACAAAAATGTCGGAAAATCAAATACGTTGTTACATACACGAGCGAATTGAACAAGCTGAGATATATAAACACCATAGGAAGGTGACAAGGGAACGTCACCATCTAAAAATGGATAATTAACAATAGGAAATGAAAAATCATCTCTTTTATCGCAAATTTTGGTAGTAAGCTTCCCGTTAAAGATACAGATATCAAGATCCAGGAAAGGGCAGTGTTCATTGTTAGCATTAGCTTTATTTAAAGTCAGTTCAGCAGGATAAATCTCTAAAAGGACCTAAATATAATAGCCAAATTCATCTAAGATCAACTTTGCACGAGGGAGTTGGAACCTTAGTTTCTTAGTTGATTCTCAATTTATGAACGGAGAATATAAAACAGATACGTAATAAATCATGTCATTACCGAACCACTGGCTACTGAAAATATCAATAGGTTTAAGTTTGAAATATACTTTTTTAAGAGATGAATGAACCACTACGCGACACTGGTGAACTTGGAATACAATTTGTCTTTAGAACACTGACAACAAGCTACACTCATCATGTTAGACGCTATATTATTTCGCTTTGCCATGCAAAAACCGAAAAATTATATATATAAGAAGTGAACAGCTTTTAAGTGTAATTTTTTAGGATTTTCAGAAATGTGACATATATATCAATATTGTAAAAAAAAAGCAAAGTACATATAAACGACGAAAATTCTTTATTTATTTATTTTAACGCATATAAAAACAAACATGCCATTAGTTTTGATTGGTTTTTACATTAATGTGATTTACAGAATATTGATGAAGCATCACAAGCTAATGATTGATTAGTTTGTTGTTCTGATTTTTTGTCTCTTCTAAATCCGATCAAAACCTATTCTGTGGTTTAACAATACTAACACCCCTTTGACAGAATTATATTCTTCATATTACAACTTTCTATTATTGAAGACAGTGTTTTTACCACTATAGATTTCTTTCTTGGTTTTGTTATGATTATTCATTATGTTCGCTTCAACAATAATAGTTCTTTCTTTTTACATATTTGAAAATTAATCAAACAGTTTTAAGCTCTGAGTATATTAACGTAACTTTTTAAATTGAATTATTACGTTGTTTTAATGTATTTTTGTGACCGTAAGGTGATGGAGTTATTGCGTATTTTAATGTATTCCTGTGACCGTAATATAATCGAATTATTCGGGATTTTATTGTACTCCTAAAGGTAATCGAGTTATTGGGGATTTAATTGTACTCCTGTGACCGTTAGGTAATCGATTTATTGGGGGTTTTATTGTGTTCCTGTGACCGTAAGGTAATCGAGTTATTCCTGTGACCATATAAGGTAATTTAGTTATTGGGGATTTTATTTTACTTTTGTGTGCATATGAGATAATCGAGTTATTCCTGTGACCATATAAGGTAATCGAGTTATTGGGGATTTTATTGAACTTCTGTGACCATATAAGATAATCGAGTTATTGGAGATAGTTATCATTCCATCACCCAGTCACGTCTCAGTCCTTACAGCTGAAAGGACGTGCTGGATCAGCTCCTGTTTATCCGTTAGCTACAACATGTTACGCTGCTCGGATGGTTCAACGACAAACTAATTTATGAGGCTCCTGTACAGTAAACCCGCGTCAGCGACACTCTGAAACCCATTGTGGATGGGTGAGTGTCATATGCTGCCCAGACGTGCGAGGGCTAGCTGTATCGTAGTTTTAGTGCAATTTACAGTAATCTACTACGGAGTCAATGATTCATCTACCACAACACATCGTTGTGGTTAGCAGGCTGCCCAGCTGATCACCCTGGCCCTGAAAGCAGCCGTTGTAGAGTCTTTGCAAAGAAACATCAAAATAGTTAAAAACCAAAACAACTCACGTAAACCAAGATAGCCGCCTACCAAAATGGCGCCTTCCACCGGATCCTGACCATCTGCAACAGAAAATACTCAATGCTCAACAATCGCCTCCGGGAACGAGCCGACCGTGCGAGGACTGTATAGCCAGTCAAGGTCGTTAAAAACCCCTATCATCATCGAGATAGTTATTCTTATTTGGTTTCTTTTATTTTACGCATCCTCAAGACTAAAATTTTAACTCATCTTGTAATTGGTCAGGGTCAAAGTAAGGATAACCGTTTCGGTTTAATGTACAAGTTTAAAAGACATACATCGGATCCAAACCTTTGACCCTGGAACAATATTTTTCGAATTATTACACAATTACTAAAATGTTCTGACTGTGAAGACACGATTAAATGAGCATTGTGTCACACACAATAGTAATATAATATCGGTGTGAGAGAGAGAGAGAGAGAGAGAGAGAGAGAGAGAGAGAGAGAGAGAGAGAGAGAGAGAGAGAGAGAGAGCCTTGCAATAACTCTTTGGGAAGTCTGTAAGTGGCTAGTTGCAAGGCAAAATATCTGTTCCTTTTAATACTTAGTCTAGTATACCCTCTTTTTTCAGTGGCAGACCAAATTTCCCGACCTCTAAATGGCGAAGATAAAATAAATTGGGAATGTGTCCATGGGACACAGATGATGCCCCCGCTTGCATATCATATAAAGTTATAAAGGGACATAACTGAAGAACGGTAAAAGTGACGCTACCCAAATTTGTACTTGATCTGAGTTTTGTGGTAATAAGTATTGTGTATAAGTCTCATAACATTTAGTTGAGGCTAACTTAAGTAAGAGAACAGAAACGAATAATTCAGCAATTTTTCCATTTGTAAACAGGCATAACTCTAGAACGGTAAAAGTGACACCACAAAAATTCAAATTTGATCTCTATTTTGTGGTAATAAGCATTGTATATAAGTTTCATAACATTTGGTTGAGGCAAACTAAAGTTAGAGAACGGAAACGAAAAATTCAGCAATGTTTATGTTTATAAAGGGGCATAACTCAAGAACGATAAAAGTGACGCCACCCAATTTCAAATTTGATCTGTATTATGTGGTAATAAGCATTGTGTATAAGTTTCATAACATTTGGTTGAGGTAAACTAAAGTTAGAGAACCGAAACGAAATAATCAGCAATTTTTCCATTTGTAAAGGGCATAACTCTAGAACGGTTAAAGTGACGCCACCAAAATTCAAACTTGATCTGTGTTTAGTGGTAATAAGTATTGTGGATAAGTTTCATAATATTTGGTTGAACTTTGGGACGTACGGACGAACGGACGTACAGACGGACAAGGGTAAAACTTAATGCCCTCTCCGCTACGGCGGGGGCATAAAAATTATACGTCACCAAACGGTTTCAACAATGAGAAAATTATTGTACTTATTGTTTATCTGTTTTCTTCCTGAACATGTATTCAATATTTGCAACGTGACGTTGAGCAACCAGCAATCAACCATCAATCGATCTAGAAAGGAAACGAGATGGTTTGTGCGTAGGGAAAACTGATGTAACCCCACTACATTGTGTTCCTCTACCACATTAGACCATCTGAATTATGTGTTGTTCGTTGTTTCTCCTGGTTTTTCCGTCTGTTTTTCGATGAATTAAGTTGTTGATGGTTGGTGTGGTCTGTTAGAATATCCTATATTGTATTCTAATAGCAGCAGATATATCAGTACGATGTCTTAGAAATTACTTCTAAAACAGCAGATATATCAGTACGATGTCTTAGAAATTACTTCTGAACATACTTACCAATATGCAACAAAATCGAACACAAAGTAAAAAGATGATTGGTGAATGATTTTATTGTTTTAAAATGAAAATACAAAATAATCTGAAAACAGTTTCAACCATTTTTACAGAAAAAAATTATAACGATGGTAAACACTGCATAGATGATGAAAGAGACAAAGAAGAATTGGTCACGGTAAGTAGTTATCACTTGAATGGTATTGTGTTGGCTTTAAGACCATTATTAATGATTCCTGTTTTCGTTGTTCTCTTTAATTACTAGTATAGTGTTTTTTTCACTTTCTCATTCATTTCTAAGTTTTTATGGGGGTTGAAATAAACCCATCATAGATACCTGGATTAAAAGTTTGTACGCCAAACGCGAGATTCATCTACAAAAGACCAATCAGTGACGCTCAAATAAAAAAAGTTAAAAGGCCAAATAAAGTACGAAGTTGCAGAGCATTGAGGACCAAAAAATCCGAAAGGTTTTGCCAAATACAGCTTAGGTTATCTTTTCCTGGAGTAAAACATCCGTAGTATTCAAAGTTTTGTAAACAGTTTTGGAAACAAAAGAAAAGAGTTGAAATCAATTTTTGATGTTTTATATTAACTGATTTTTTTTTATGGAAAGAGTGATTAGGCCAGGTGCCAAAAGGTACTAGTAATATTTACAGTTTTCCGAACATCTGTTGACTTGTCCATAAGGGTATGGGTGTGTATTGGCTAAATTCTTGAGCAGTAATTTTATTGAATGTTTGATATATTTTTATACTTTTGCACTTAATATAAAAGATTGTGCAAAACGGTAGGGTGCGATTTTTTTATGTGACAAAACGTTATAAAGAACAAATATGGAAATTAATTGTGGTCTCTGGCCTTTAATAAACGCTTCAGAAACTTCGTACATGAAAAAAAATATTTGAATATATGCTTGTATGAAATGTGTGATTCAATATCAATGATCCATTCATGTTTTGTTAGTTGATAAAACGGTAAATATGTCCGATCCTGTACCCTTATCCCATGATATCTCAATTTTCTCAACGATGACGTAATGATATAATGAATACATTCATTTTTAATCTGACAGTGTTACATAAAATGATTTTATTTTTAAGCAAAAAGTATATAAATTGAATAGAAAATATGAAAAACCTAATATTTCCTATGATGAATCAACAATATTCCATTCTGTTCTCTTTACGTTTTTGATTCCCATTGCATTCTAATATATACATTGTAAAACAAAGGTTTCTTGGCTTGAGTATGACATCTATTTTACTAACTCTACAGTAGGTGTACACGGCAATTACAGATATCGGTTTCAATATCGTTTATTATCATTATTGTGCAATAATTAAATAATCGTGCAGTAACTACAATGTGGACAATGTAAAAAAAAAATCTAAATGATTAAATATTATAATAAAAATGAAAAATGGAATGTGACTACTTTATCTTGGATTTATCTATTCGTGATTATGTTGAAATATACATCAAAATATGTTACATCCAAATAAGAACATTAAACATTTCTGTGATCGTTATTGTGTACTATGATTAATCTCTGAATATAATGTCTGTTTTGGGTTTTACTTTCATGTACGGCATAATATTGTGACGAATGTCATATTTCTATTTTTTCCTGTTTGAATTAAATACATAATTCATAATTTTCCCCAAAATAATAAAATCTTATATACATTCATGTTATCAATTTAATATTTAATTACACAAAACGAAGAAGAAGGTAGTTAAAATTTATTTTGATTTCAATCTGATTAGAATTAGATCCCGCACACTCGCTCACTATGTTATGCCAACACAGCGACCAAACATAAAAAAGTGAGTGAGTGCGGAAATCTAATTTTACTTATATTGGTTAAAGTTATGTATTTCTATCCACATCAATGAGAATATAAGTAAACAAGAATTTTCTCCGTTTCTTTTTCAAAATGTTTTCAAGATTCAGAAATTCTTAAGGCATTGCTCCTTATCGTGTGGCAGGAAAGCTGCGCACAAACATAAAACTAATAGATAAAAAACTGTTTTCATTTTTCATGATTCTTACTGCTTTCATGTACTTCTTACAATCAGGTTTTTCAATTAGATATCTTATTTTCCTTTCCTACGTTTGTATGTAGATATTGTGTTGTATATTTCACATAAAAACAGACACACTAAATGTTAAATAGATGATGATATATCTATTAGATTACTAAAAGATATACATTTACACAGAATAATTAGCTCATTTTATATTTAGTCCTTTTATCATACATCTTCATATATCACAGTAAAAAATTGAAATTACACATTATTTAAAAATAAAACAATTCAAACATTCAACTCAATCATACATCGTGTCAGAAATTATATCTACTCTATAAATGTTTTCTACATCTTCTTTCATATTAACCATCAATGTCAGAAATTATATCTACTCTATAAATCTTTTCTACATCTTCTTTCATATTAACCATCAGTGAAAATGTTTCCAAAACTCGTACAGAAATAACATAAAAATGCTCATTATTTTTTTTGTGGAATACACAATGCATATTGGAACAATTAGAAGGCAGTTGTTACTACATGTGTATACTATGACCACTTGGTACATCTTATTAGTATACCCTTTTATGAAGTCCCTGCAAGACTTGTATATAGTTGCTTGCTTACTTAAACATTGCAAATGTTACGAATTTACAGTTTAAGAATGTTATTATATATCTACAGTTAAATATTTTCCGATACTTCTATGAATTTCCCATTTGATCTTTTTATCATTGAAAACAGCATCGAAATCATCCCTTTATCCTTGGTTGCTATAAGACGCTTTACCTATACAGGTGTTGCTAGGGTGCTCTCTTCGAAGTCCGCTTTCGAAGTATAAATAGTGGGTAGCTATTCCGTTCAAGTTGCCCGACCGTGCAAGGGCTGTATAGCCAGTCAAGGTCGTTAAAAACTTCCATTTGTTCAAGTTGTCATTTGTACCGAAGACAGCAGACAGTGAACATCGGAAAGGTTGGAAAGGAAGTAGTTTACAGCAGGTAGAATTTTTAGTTTAAGTGAAGTGAAGTGCTTGGAACCTGCGGACAGAATATAGAAAGGCTGAGACAGTTGGTTCGGTACAGATTGTCCAAACAGGGCTGGCGCTAGGGTTTTGCGTCTCACATCTCTCACTATTGCAGTGAGTGTTTGCTGACAGACCATGCCTTAGTGCTACCCTGTTGTTCTGACAGTTTAAGACATATTTGTTTAATAAAGTTTCATACGAAAGTTTACACCAGTTCAAATAGTTTCCATACATTCGTTTTAATAGGTTCCATACATTTAGGTTTCAGCCTATAGTTCCAAACATTTGGTTTTAAACAAGTATCAGACTGAAAGGGTTTTAGACAGTTTAATTTACAAGGTTCGGGTTAGGTTGATAGGTGTTGAAATTCGTTTTATGAAGTATTTGTTTTATATTAAGTAGTATAGCGTAAACTGTTTGACTTTAAAAATTTTGCATTTACTCTTCAGATCCCAGGAAACTGGTACGAACCCGAGGATAAAAATATTAAAACGCCCTCGCCCGGTTACACGTAACACAAATTACACTTTCTACTGAAAGTATCTTCACACATTGCAAATTACACTTTCTACTGAAATTATCTTCACACATTGCAAATTACACTTTCTACTGAAATTATCTTCACACATTGCAAATTACACTTTCTTCTGAAATTATCTTCACACATTGCAAATTACACTTTCTACTGAAATTATCTTCACACATTGCAAATTACACTTTCTACTCAAATTATCTTCACCAGACACACATTCTTTACGAGAAAAAAATAAAAAATTAAATGTTAACTGATAGAAAAATAAAAAGGTTGGGGTCATAAACACCTTTTATCTAAGAGGTAACACGAGTTTACTGTAGTTTAGTACAAGTTCTCGAGACCAACAGCACGAGGTGACTGTAGATTGAAACATGTTCTCAACCAACAACAGCTGTCCTTGTTCAGCATTAACTGTCTGTGAAGTTTTGAATATCAAGTATTATTACATGTAATCTAAACGGATTGCATGGTTCTGCTCTAAGAAACCATAGAATTAACAACAGTTTCTCGTTATTAATTTGTTTATTCTTTTGAAATATCAATAGATTCAAATTTATTAAATCTTAAAGTCAGAAAAATTTAAGATATTCAAGCAGAACTTAAAGAATTCTATCTATAAAGAAAATTTCTAAAACATTCTTTCATGGACGACACATATTCAATGCTGATTTATGAGAAAAAATTTATCTTATTAGCTTTTAAGTAACAATATTTAGGTACATGTTTATCGAACAATACCGATTTGCATTGCATATTGAATATCTGTGCGTATATATTACCACTAGAGACATATACGTGTAATACAATATGTCCCTGTAATTACTCTTAAATCCATCACTTTATCATTTATAAAGCTAGAAGCAAGCAACTTGTATTTCAACAACACCATTGCTGGAAAGCTCTTTGATATAAGTACCATATAGTCATCTCTGCACATAGAGCCCTGTATTTATATCACATGTTTTCAGGAAGGATAACGTTCATTGACTACTTCTCAGCTGTCACAAATAATGTGTCCAATAGAAGACATTGAACATTGCAAAGAAGAATGGAAATAAGAATCTGGAAGCTACGTCCAAATACATGGCTTGTATGTGCCCTGGTGTCCTATTCATGGACTTTGATAGTGTTGGATCTGTATCTGGGTTTAATCTCATTTCTCCGTTTTCACCAATCACTACCTACAATAAATGATTAAGATAAAAATAGTAGAGATTTAGAAATTTAAGAAATTTCAATTATTTAACGAAGAATAAAAAAGTATTTTGGATAACATTTCTGTTTTACACATTGTGGATATAACGTTCATGAATGTATCACAAGCCAAGAAGCCCGCACTCAAATGCTGACATGAAATCTCATTAATACGGTCGTCTTCCATAAACCAACTGCTGCATAAAATGTTAAAATTGTCCGAAACACCTATATTTTTCTACATCAGTTGGCCCAATGCAGATTTTGCACAGGTTTTTAGAATTGTTGGTTTTAACCTCTTCAACTTTGCACTTAAATTGACCTTCTAACTATTTTGATTCTAGCGCCACAGATGACTTTTATGTCTGTCGACAAAAGTTTAAAGACCAAACAGCCTATTGTTGATGCGCATCAACTAACGCAACTTGGTAGTGACATAAAAGCTCTATGACGTTGTTTTTTAGCCATGAAAAAAAACATCAAATTATAACGTCCTATTTCGCGTTTTTCACGGATTCCAACATGGTGTACGCTTAAAACTACGTCTTCCAAGAAAAGTGGAATTAAGCGTCGCACTGATACCTAGTGGAAATTAAACACAAATGGACACAAAAGATACTACACTATCTGTAACCTCCGTTCTAATAAAAATAATAATAAAAATATAAATTTTGAACTCGGCTTTTTGCATTTGCGCCGATCTGCATTTCACTTTTTTTCTTTCACTTGCGCCGATTTTGTCTTTCATTTGCGCCGATTGTGTACAGGTAAATTATAGGTGAAAGTTATTTTTTTATTTATCATATAAACCTCTTCCGTTAGCCAGTTGTACATATGTTATGAATTGTCAATTATAACATGTATATAACTGTTGTCCCCTGCTCACAAAGGGGAGGTTCGAGTAGAATTTCGAGCAGGATAAGTCAATTTAAAAGATATGTGTGCACTCTGTTTACTTCTACTAAAATCACAGAGTAAAATTCTATTTACAGCATTTCAAAGCACCACAATAAAATCCATAAAAATGTAATACTAGTACAATGAATAATTATCTTGTCGAGAATTCATATGCCACACATCTGATATATTCCTTTCTTGTCATTTTATCTTTTCTATACTTGTTGTACTTGCCAATAACGAAGTCCATCTTTTCTTTTTCGTGTCAAAACGAAGTTCTCGAACAATATGACCAAAATTATCTTAAACATAAGGGAACACTATTTATATCCATATATTACCATGCAATATACAGTACATTCTAGGTTTACTACATGTACATGTTTTTACTCGTATAGCAAATAAAGTATCGGGGCTAGTGATAAAAAAAATAAAATAGGCGCTAATGAAAGAATCAAATCGGCGCAAATTAAAGATCGAAATTTTATTTTAAATCGGCGCAAATCTCGTACGCCCGTGTAACTTTACACTGGTAAATTTATATGACTTACACTTAAAATTTTAACTTAATATGTGATTTTCAAAACTGAGTTTTCAGAAGGTTAGGCCGATAAACAATACCTTCTAGAAGTTTCGATATACTGTGATTACTGGCAACGTATGCATGTTGAGATTAACTTATTTCTTTAAGATTCTCGTAAAATAATGGTGATCTTTCAATGAAGTTAAATTTTATCTATACTGCTTAATTGACAAAATCTTATAGTAAAAATAAAAATGATAAAGGTTCAATGTCTTTTGTCATTTGTTTCATTTCAAATTGTCTCAAGGAGAAATGATAAAGATTTCGCCTGATCTCACAGAAGCTTAAGGCAAAAAATATAAGAAATTAATATACTAAGTGAATGTGAATTAAAATAAAAATTTACGGTTTTTAAAACTAAACTTGTTGTAAATTTAACTTATGACAAAAACAATTGCTTCAAGAATAAGATCCAACATAAAATTTCTCACTTTCAAAAAGCTACAATGACCGGAAAGATTGAAAACAAATTTCGATTTTCAATGCCGGCAATCTATACATACTACATTGTCTTTGTTTTAATTTCCAAAATGAGCTATTTAGATTCATAATATTTTATCCTGTTTTGAGAAATACTTTATAGTTTTCAACGGAAAATTATTTCTTAGATTCTAAATCAATTTTTGAATTAAAAATTTATTTGTATTTTATATTTACTATCTCGTTTATTCAAAACACGTGAGGTAGAAATAAGGCCACACCAATTTGATTAATAGTTCTTTGGATTTTCCCGCACCTGTTTTGGAGAAATTGACTTTTCAATAAAAAAAAATAATTACCGCTTCCTCCAATTTTTGGGCCGCATGCCGCTCTAAATTTAGTTTATCCTTGACATTTTTCTTTTTTCTTTTAGACGTGTTTCTTGTGTATATATTGTCCGATCGATTCAAACGCACGTGTGATAAATCGATTTGTAAATAAAAGGTCAAAAATCGGGATGCCAACGTGAAGTTGTGTCAGATCATTGCCGAGGACAAGTAGTTATTAAACACACAGTTATTTTAAACGCGTTTCGTTTTACCTATGAAGACCTGTTCTAGGAGACAAAAATAAAAAATCTTTCGTTAGGTGACCACGATCACATCAGTACTTGTCATACCCGATTATTGTTTCAACAGACATAGTCCGAGATTACTCTGACGTCCAACGGCTGTTTTGCCAGTCAAGATGGGGCGCTGTTGTCCCACGGCCCCAGCTTGTCCTGCAAAACCAAAACAGCCGTTGGACGTCAGAGTAATATCGGACTACAATAGGCATAGAAAGAGCTATCTGTCTTGGATGAAATTAATATTAAATTCACACGAGTTTTTGAAAAATGACAGATGAATCTTTTTTTGATAAAAACCTCATATCCCCTTGTTAGTCTATTGACATGCAATCAGAACTCTTTTGTAAGGGAAATTTTAAGAGTTCCAACGTTCGAGACCAAAGTGGTGGTATTGAGATTGACATGCTAATAATAATTAGGGATGTGTTATTGGTGCAACTACTTACAGTTTGAAATATATTGCAGGTTTCAGGGACAAAAGGAAAAAGTATTTTGCTAAGTCAGAATAATGCATGTGAATGTGGTTAACGGTATTTTAAGGGAATGTTTTAATAAATTGAAATCTACATGCATAGCAATATAAGTATCTTACTGAGGATGTTGTTGAACTATTCACCTTACTCATTATGTTGATCCTATTATGGATAAATAGTTCCAACTGGATGTCAAGCAGCCAATAAACAATCATTACCATGTAATAAAAACAACTATATCAAAAGATAATTAATATTTTTCTAGGGTATTTTTTGGAATATATACACATATTTTAATTGTATTCAACACATTTCATTTAAATTTACCTCACTAACATAATTCCTCTTGCTAAACTGCATCTGCTATGCTTCCTTAATATATACGCATGTATGAATTTAATTTTTAATGAAAATTCACGCAGTCAAAGCTTATTTGACGAAAATAATCAAAATTATACTAAACCAAAGCGAACCAGAAAGTTGGGTATGGTACAGAATGTACTACAGGCACAAATACATCAAATTACATGCAATAGAGCATGATTGTCTTCCTTTTTCTTTGAAGTAACCAGTTTTACATGTACATAAAATTCCAAATCGCACAATTTAAAAAAAAATATTATACCGCTCGCTCCACTTGTAGAGCGCCCGCCTCAACAAAACTGATTTTCAAGAAATAAATACAATCAAAAAAATTTCGCTCGCTCGCCCCTTATTTTTTGGAGCTTTTGTCCAAAGAACTAAAAATCAAATTAGTGTGGCCTAACGGGGATCGTATTTTATGATAGGCTAAATGGATGTAAAACGTTTTAGAATCAAAAACTTTAATTCATATATTATACATATAATTTTCTTATATTTTAAATATTCAGAAATAATGAATCCACAAACTAGATGGGGGGTCCTAGATGGAATAATTTGTATACGCTCGTCTTAGTCGGGACACATAATGGTATAAAGAAGTCCGTCCATGCTAATGTCTATCCGTCTGTCAACAGTAACTAAAGAGTGCGCTAGGGCGAAGTTCTGAAATTGACGCGACAAAAAAACCCACACATCTAGTCTAATATAGTCAATGAGTCTGTAAGTTTGCCAGTGTCATCTTTCATTTCTCTTTTTATTTTCAATGATTTTGCTAATGAGAAGGAGAGGACAAAAACAGACTTTCCTTTCTAAAGCGTCGTAAAAGGTTATTTCGAACAATTTTTCATTCCGACGGATGGTGTTTCTTAAGGTTAATTTTGTGCGGCAACAACATCATGAGATCTAATACTGATACATACATGTGATCTCTTGTATTACCGGATAATAAAGTAGGTGAATCTAGTTGTTATTCTTGATTCTTGAAAATTTAAATGTGGGTTTCAAACGTCCAATTTGCAATTTTTTTCAAACAGTGCGCCAGCAAGGAAAACTTGTACTATGACGTCAGATTCAATGTTCTGAAGAAAGACAACTCTTTTCTTCAAAACGAACGAGAAAAAAACATGAAAATTAATCATTACTTTTTTGAAAGGTCGGTGACATATTCATTTTTTTGCTTTATTTTGAAGAGTACACATGGCACTTTCCTTCTTGAAATTTTTATGAAAAAATCACTGGTAGATATTTTTTAATACTTGAAACGTTTTTCATTCTTCCGTTTTACTTTTGGCGGGAATGAAATAAATCATATTTTTTAAGATCAAAACAATAAGAGTCTTAAACTCTTGAACCTGTATTTGATAGACACAAATCTACTGTTTAACATGAAACAAGAATTATGCTTGTAGGTTTGATATAATGGGATTTTTTGAGAGTTTAAATAACAAGCAAATATCATGTTGATATTCGGGAAAACACGAAACTGAGGTTGCTATAGTGACAAAACTAAGTCGGTGACCCCCAATTTTTTTTATCAAATTTTGTTCCTCAAATCATGAAATATCTTCACACAAAATTTTAAGGAAAAATCACTGGTAGAACTGAATAGGCTGTTTGGTCTTTAACGCTCGCCTGGCGTGCTTATTATAATACTGCTGCTGTGACGGCTTTTTACACATTAATATCATAAAAAATATTAAAGCAACTTCATTTTAAATTCTATGATAAAAACGCTTTATATCATTGTGTGTGTGTTAATGTTGTCGGCATAATGAACTAAACTTTTGTAAGGAAGTACTACTTAAAAATAGGAAATGACCACACATAAAGCAGCAATAAGTATTATACCAACACATAAAGCAGCAATAAGTATTATACCAACACATAAAACAGCAATAAATATTATACCAACACATAAAGCAGCAATAAATATTATACCAACACATAAAGCAGCAATAAATATTATACCAACACATAAAGCAGCAATAAATATTATACCAACAAATAAAGCAGCAATAAGTATTATACCAGCACATAAAGCAGCAATAAGTATTATACCAACAAATAAAGCAGCAATAAGTATTATACCAACACATAAAGCAGCAATAAGTATTATACCAACACATAAAGCAGCAATAAGTATTATACCAACACATAAAGCAGCAATAAGTATTATACCAACAAATAAAGCAGCAATAAGTATTATACCTCTGCTGATTTCGTCTTCTTTTTCTTTGTTGATATTCGAGGTAAAATTGGAATATCTTTTAATCTAAATGCTCTATTTAGGTCTCTGCGACTTAACACATTAGCAACAGCGAATTCAATCAAGGCAGCAAATACAAACAGTAAACAAGTGGACATCCAAACATCAATGGCTTTTGTGTACGACACTCGTGGAAGTGAGGCGTTGACCCCTGAACTTTGTGTTACCATAGTAAGAACTGTCAATACACCTAACGATATTCTTCCTGGAACTGCTCCGACATTTAACCAGAATGACATCCAAGAAAGAAATACAACAAACATACTGGGAATGTACATTTGTACGATATAATACTTAATTCTCCGTTCTAAAATAATGTCTGCTATTAAACAACTGTGACCACCTGAAAAAGAAAATATTCACTCTTTCAATGACGTAGATGTCACTTACATATATTTGGAAAACGTAAAGCTCACCTGTTAAACTAGACAGATTTTAGTATGACAATAACTAAAGCAACAATTTTCTCATACAAACTGATCTTAAAAAATAAATGGCGGTTCGTTTTAAGCCATTTTGTTATATCTCTCCATGTTATCATTTGACCTCGGCTGCTCAAATGTTTGTCGAAAGTGTGCGTTCAACAAAGCAGAAAGACCTTTTTACTGAGATTTAAATCTAAACGTTTTCCTTCTTTAGAATTTCAAGTATAAAGTGAAAACAATTTGAGATGAGTAAAGATGAAAAACCTAAGAGATTTGTTATGATTGGCATTGCCAATACGACATCTATCCACCTGATTCCACATTATAAGGGATATAAATCCTTTGTGAAAGTGACCATAGGTCACCGCAATTTATCCAAGTTGGACAACGATACAATCTTAATATGTTTGTACAAATATTGATTTGGTTCGGCGATTCCCTGACTTTTTATACATTCTAAATTATTTTCCATGTACGTATGAATGAGGATCCTGATTTGGGGTCACTCATTTCTTTATTCTTAATTTGTTCTGTCATTTTTCTCTTTTCGATATATTTTAGCACTCCATTATTCTCTATTCTTTATTTTTTCAGCCTATTTTTCTCTTTATTCTTCATATTGTTTGTCCTTTATTCTGCACTTTTTACCAATTATGCTCTATTCTGTAAACCCCATTCAAACCCCCATGCATGAAATTAAATCCGTTACTACAAATGAAGCGATGTTAAATTTCCCTTATTTAGATCTACATAAGTGTAGCATGATTAAAAGGCCTTCAGGGGATAGATGCAAATACAATGACGTATATCCCACATTTGATTGTATATATATGTTAGTTGATATGACATTCACAGCTTATATTTGTTGTCAGTATTTCAATTAAGTATGACTGAATATTTGCGAAAAAACACGTGTTGACTGTCATAGGCCCCTCAATGGTAATAATTCAGTGGCGGATCCAGAACTTTTTGTAAGGGGGGCCCGCTGACTGACCTAAGGGGGGCCAGCTCCAGTCACGCTTCAGTGATTCTCTATATAATCAACCAAATTTTTCCCACGAAAGAGGGGCCCGGGCCCCCCAGCTCCCCCCCCCCCCTGGATCCGCCTCGGGGTATTTCTTGATATAGGTAATAAAGAGGTACATAATTTTCATAATTACTTACTTTTGTCTCGTCTAGTTCTTGACTCATTTCTTATATTTACATTTGTTATAGTAAATTGTGGCAATTCCACGTCTTCATTTTTTACAACAGGTCTGTGTTGACCAGTGGCCATCCATCTCAGTTTCAAACTCTTTTCACTTAAACTGACTGTAAGATTATCAATTAAGAATATACTAATTGTTTTAGAGTGAAAATACTAATTGTGACATGTTGATGTAGTACATGTTAGTACAGAAACAGATTTCTAAAACTATAACATAATGCAAACTTTCCAATTGATATAGTATAAAATATTTTGTAAACCCCATGTATAACATTTTGTAATTTTTAATTTGAGTAAACCGGTATTTTTTCTAGGAATATATATATAAGATGTTTTGTGGTCGCCATAACAAAGTGGTTTTTCATTACACAGGCAACATGCATACCATATTTCCATGAAATATGTGTTCCGTTTTCCCGCCAGATTTGATCGATAACAAGATAAAAACAAACGTAATTTACTGATTTTGACAATGCAACAGTACGCATGCGTAGTAGGATATCCCACCGGAGAACATTGCAACTCTACTGGTTCTATCATTTTTGTTCATGGAGAAAAAAAAAACCGTTTTCATAAATGAGCAGTAAATAATAATGCAGACACAACGAAATGTCAAAGGAGATAGGGAAGGATAATTTTGTTAATGGCGAATCGGAGAGAAAAACAGATAAACAAGTCATTTAATTCAGTACAGAAATGTTCACTCGACAGTTCGAATTTTTGGCAAACGCAAATATGATTTGAGGTATTCCAAAAAAATTAATTCACCCAATACATGGGAAACAACATGTGTACTTACAACTTTCCATTTCAATAGAGCATGTCTGACGATCAAACGGATAATTCTTTAATTGCATAGGGCAATTAAGCTTCAAGGACACTCTGCAAATAAAAAAGGCAACACTTGTTACTACTGCTAGTGTATTGGAGCATTACAAACGTGTTACTACTGCTAGTGTATTGGAGCATTACAAACGTGTTACTACTGCAAGTGTATTGTAGCAATGTTATAAGAAGATATTAAATTACCTTGTAAATTTCCTTGCATTAAAGACACATATCAAATAATCTTGCAGTATATATGACATATATTATATTACCTTCAGTATATGATACATTTCATTTGTAAATGACCTTGCAGTATATGGAAAATATTAAGTCACCTTGTAGTATATGACACATATTAAATAACCTTAGAGTATATGACACATATTAAATAACCTTGCAGTATATGAAGCATATCAAATAACATTGCAGTATATGACATATTAAATAAACTTGCAGTGTATGACACATATTAAATAACCTTGCAGTATATGACACATATTAAATAACCTTGCAGTATATGACACATATTAAATTATCTTGCAGTATATGACACATATTAAATTACCTTGCAGTATATGACACATATTAAATTACCTTGCAGTATATGACACATATTTTTAAAATAACCTTGCAGTATACGACACATATTAAATTACCTTGCAGTATATGACACATTTCCTCCTAAGTTGGCACTCAACATCTTATTGGGTACAAAAACGGAATGGAGTCTGGCTTCTTTTTCATTTGGAAAATAGATATCTGGTAACCATAGCTTCTCCATACTTTTATGATCAAAGGAAACTTTGTGACTAGATGACTTCATAATCCACTGTATGTATCTCTCGTCATGCCAATACAAGTGGAGAAAAATACCAACCGTGAAATCCTGAAGGTACCAAAAATTAAAAAAAACATCATTTGTATAATAAACCTCTTTTAAAAATAGATAAGAAATAATAGTAAAATAAATGGGGAATGTGTCCATGGGACACATATGATGCCCTGTTTGCATATAACGTTATACAGGGACATAACTCAAGGACGGTAAAAGTGACGCTACACAAATTCATACTTGATCTGAGTTTTGTGGTAATAAGCATTGTGTATAAGTTTCATAACATTTGGTTGAGGCAAACTTAAGTTAGAGAACGGAAACGGAAAATTCAGCAATTTTTTTTCCATTTGTAAAGGGCATAACTCTAGAACGGTTAAAGTGACGCCACCAAAAATTAAACTTGATCTGAGTTTTGTGGTAATAAGCATTGTGTGTAAGTTTCATAACATTTGGTTGAGGCAAACTAAAGTTATAAAACGGGAACGAAACATTCAGCATTTTTTTCATTTGTAAAGGGCATAACTCTAGAACGGTAAAAGTGACGCAACCAAAATTCAAATTGATCTGTGTTTTGTGGTAATAATCATTGTGTATAAGTTCATAACATTTGGTTGAGGCAAACTAAAATTAGAGAACGGAAAACAATTTCGGGACGTACGGACGTACGTACAGACGGACAAGGGTAAAATTTAATGCCCCTCCACTACGGCGGGGGCATTAAAATAAGTAAGAAATCGAATTGTTGATTACCTAAATGTACTGTGCGAGAAACTCTTGGGTACATTGTAGTCAAGGTTGTTAAACTTTCCGTAATAGTAAAGTATGTAATACGGTTAAATACATGTACCAGGAAGATATAGTTTAATGTAATTGCCAATGAGGCGGGTAAATGCACGTTAATATCAAATACTTGCAGTCGATATTCCTTTTTAATACCTACAATACTTCATTCAAATCAACATTTCTAAATTAGATTTTATCATGACACCACACTTTTAAATGATTTCATTAGTCTAATTTATCTGAAGAAATAAACTACTTCCTAAACGTAAATTTCTAAACATCTTTGATACCGAAATCTAGTAAATCTGAATTAAAGATATCATCAAATTGAAAAAGATAAACTTAACTGCTGAAAAAAATTCAAATTTAATTCCTATGACGTAAGTGCTTACATTGAAATAAATTGATGTACTATAAATTGTACAGGATCAACTTAAATCTGCACTGTATCATCGTTAAGAGATAAGAAGGGCGGGTTCGATTAGCTTAATATGTGTTTTGTAGGAGTTTTGAAAAGTTAGGTCTTATTCAACAGATTAAAAAGATGATAAATAAGCGTATTATTATAATTAGATAGATATCTCAGAGGTATTCAACGTCGAATTAAGAGATAAAGAGCGTAGACTTACCATATTGGCTTCATTTATTGAATCAAAACTGTCAATATTCAGTTCACAATCGACGATTATCGCACTTCCTAAAATCAATAAAATACAATATAAAATTAAAACCAAAGTAGGTTATTCGAACGCAACATTTTATACACCTAATTTACCCTTTGTAAAAACCAAATTCAAACTTGTTGACCTACTGATCTTAAACACTTTTGATATCTTTCAGTTTGTTGTCCAATCTGAAAACCAACCTCCAAATCAAGGAAAACAATCATAGAATAAAGACATGCAAAATTTGCTGCGTTCGAAAAATAGCATTGCGACGCTTTACTCAAAGTCGGAAAAATGTTTGCAAATAAAATTGAGATTGGAAATGGGGAATATGTCAAAGAGACAACAACCCGACCAAATAGCAGACAACAGCCGAAGGCCACAATGGGTCTTCAACGCAGCGTGAAAATCCCGCACCCGGAGGTGGTCCTCAGCTGGCCCCTAAATAAAATTGTGTACTAGTTCAGTAAAAATAGACGTCACACTAAACTCCAAAACATATTAATGAACTAAAATTAAAAAAACATACAAGACTAACAAAGGCCAGAGGCTCCTAACTTGGGTCAGGCGCAAAAATGCGGCGGGGTTAAACATGTTTTGTGAGATCTCAACCCTCCCCCTATACCTTTAGCCAACGTAGAATAAAGAAACACATTGCAATACGCACAGTAAAACTCAGTTTAAAAGAAGTCCGAATCCGATGTCAGAATAGGTAACAAAAGAAACTAAGCAAAATAACAATGATACATAAAATGAACAAAGGACTACTAGCAGTTACTGACATGCCAGCTCCAGACATCAATTAAACTGATTGAAAGATTATGTCTTCATCATATGAAAATCAAGTACAATCCCTCCCGTAAGGGGTTTAGTATCATACCATCATAAAATATATGAGAAGAACATAACCCGTATCATGCCAATAACTGGTTTTAGAATAAATGTGTTTATTTCCGATGCAAAGACCCTATGAGTGAATCAATATTAATACCAAAATATGCAATCCTTAATGACTTGACAACGGTATCGTAACTATATCCTTTCCGAATAAGTATGTTTAAAGGTTTGGCTAGCTATTGAGGTGAATGCCGACATTTTTGTGCTTTGTACGGAATATTACCATAAAATATTGGATGTGAAATACCTGAACGTATAAGATGTCTGCATGTTTATTTATATTTACGAATGATGTCCTTGTACCGATGATAAAATTTAGTAAATGTTTTGACTAGTTTGTGATATCGAAAACCCTGGTGTAATAATTTTTCAGTAATACAGAGATTTCTTCCGTTGAAATCAAATACGTTGTTACATACACGAGCGAATCGAACAAGTTGAGATATATAAACACCATAAGATGGTGACAAAGGAACGTCACCATCTAAAAATGGATAATTAACAATAGGAAATGAAAAATCATCTCTTTTATCATAAATTTTGGTATTAAGCTTCCCGTTAAAGATATAGATATCAATATCCAGGAAAGGGCAGTGTTCATTGTTAGTATTAGCTTTTTTTTAAAGTCAGTTCGGCAGGATAAATCTCTTTAGTGTACATACTGAAGTCGTCATTATTGAGAGCCAATATATCATCTAAATATCTAAAAGTGTTATTAAATTTTTGAATCAGATGTTGTTTCGATGGGTCTTTGCTAAATTTAGTCATAAATTGTAACTCATAACAATACAGAAACAGGTCCGCAATAAGTGGTGCACAGTTAGTCCCCATGGGAATTCCGATAACCTGACGATATACGGAATCTCTATAGCGAACAAAAATGTTATCTAGTAAAAATTCAAGGGCAGTTATAGTATCAAAGCAGGTCCAATTGACATAGTTCTTTTGTTTGTTGTTACTAAAAAATGACCTAAAAGAGTTTGAACATATATATTCGCATTCCGACTTTTTTAATCAGGTGTGTGAATTTTTTCTTAATAAGATTATGAGGCAAAGTGGTATATAGGGTAGAAAAATCAAAACTTTGAACAGATTCGAAATCACAAATATAAGCATACAATTTATCAAGTACTTCCAACGAATTTTTGACCCTCCAAAAGTAATTAATTCCACTATTTTTCCTTATTTGAACAATTTATTACCAGGTTTTTTATTGTACCAAGTGTACTAGTAAGTATAACAGATAGTATAGTAGTGGGACAATGGCTTGAAGACGAAATAAATCTATATTTGTAAGGAGTTTTGTGCAGCTTCGGAAGACAGTACGTAGTTGGAACTTTCATTGTATTTGGTGCTGTTTGTAAAGAGGTAGCTAAAAGTTTATGTTTGTTACAGATGTTATTTTCCGAAAATGGAGTTAGTTGGAATGCTGGTGAATTCGTGATTTCCTTTTGTAGAACTTCATTGTAAAATTTACGTCAAACAATAATGAAAGACTGATAAAAACGTACAATACCTAATTCATTGTACATGTAACGTGTTTTCGATAAAAAAAAACCTTCGATAGGAACGCCCTAGACTCTAGTTTGGGAAGTCAAAAAATTAGACTTTTGTATTCGAAAACAAGTGTTCTTACTTGATTCTACAGGACATCAATCAAAATTTTATATGTTATACCAAATAGTTTTTGTGGTTATTATACAATTATTGACTTTTGATGAGGTTGATACAATGATTTATCAACCCCAGAGATATGATATCCAACGAGGCCAACGGCCGAGGGTAAATTTCATATCTCTGGGGTTGATAAATCATTGTATCAACTGAAATCAAAAGTCAACAGTTGTTTTATTATATGACTTTTCCTCGTTCTCCAATTCTCTATAATTTGCTCAAGATACTTTTAAAACTGTTCCCTGTTTTTATATTAAATATATCATCTGCTTTTGCAGTGGCTTATTTTCATAAGTTGAAATATTCAATAAAGTTTACTAAAAAAATACACCGAAAGCAAGAAGAAGAGAAAAAATACACCGAAAACATACAGAAGAAGAAAAAAAGAAAAAACACGGGAATTTACATGACGTCAAAAACCTACGTCATTGACGTTGCCTTGGAAAATCTGTATCTAGGTACATGGACGCTGTTCAAAATCTTATATTAACCTCTCGTGATTTTTGCCGCGGTGAATATAATGTTTTATGAAAGAGGATTTTCTATGCTTTTAGCCAATGAGTAAACAGAAAATTTATAGTCATATAATAAATTATATTATTAACTAAAGGAATTCACCTTAGATCCCTCTTTTTCGCGGCTTAGTAAATTTATTGACAAAGGTTATATATTAGTTGTTCAATTCTTGCATCTGTTAATTTTCTTAAATGAGAATCAACTCATCAATTTTTAGTTCGAGGCATGCATGAAGTTTTTCTTTAATTTTTTTGCATTAAAATTCTGTGCAAATTTAGTCTGGGCATTGTACACAATCTATCATCCTACTGTTTCTGACGTCCCCGTATGAACAGTATAAGCTGGCCACATGTCCATATGCCTGTCCTTAGCCAGGAGACTTTGTATTTTCATAAACACGTGTCTTAGCGAAATAAAATTGCCATTTCACGATGAACGAACAATTAAAAATTTCTTGCACGTTGATCTTTTTACCGATTTCACGAAACACGGTGAATAACGAACCTTTTTCACGGCTGCACGTAAAATAAAAATGGCAAAACACGTTGCACGAAAATAACCCTTTACCACCCTCTTAAATACGTAATGTTTTCCTTGATGTATTTGGTGTTGATGGCACATCTTTGATGTAGAGATATTTACATGTACTACATGCACGCAAATTCAGACTTCACCAACTTACAACCAACAATAATTGCAAAAACCATACAAAAACGAGCAACAAATATCCAGACTCAAGCCAGCAGCCACTCGCTATCAGCTACTCTGCAAGCAGCCAGTTTTCATATATGTCTAAACAAATAGGCCAGAGCGACTGATGTGGTTCAAGCACAAAATGTTGTGGAGTAAGACTACGTTCATGTTTCTATGCGAAGTTTCCCTCTGTTAGTTGTTACTTATTTCTACAGAATCGCTTTACCACATTACAGCATACATGCATGTATTGCTAAACATAAAATATCATCAAAGACAGTAGATAATACACAGAAAGCTTTAATGAAAATATTTTACTGGATATCCCAGTGATTCGAACGGTTATAAAGTGTTTTCATATAAATCTTTCCAAAAAATCTCTTCTGTAACCACAATTAGTCAGTGTTATTAAATAAGCATTAATAACGGATGTCTATATTGGAGAAACAAGCCCTGATCAATCCTTTACAATGATGTACAGTAGACATATCATATTCAGATAACTAAGCATTATCGACAACGTTTCTATAATAAATTCTGACAAAACCTATTGAAAAATCGTCCATCAAAGTTAATTTTCCAGGCAGGTCATCATACCAATCAAAGCTTCCTTTCATACTTATTTCGTAAATGTTTAAGACCAATCCTTGGCGGAAAAATTAACAAAAAGACCATTAAACTGATGCCAATCGTCTTTCAATTAATAACCATCGAGCAGAAACTAATGTCTTTCGATGTACGATATATTATGAAAGACTTTCCAACAAAAAAGATGTTTCTTAGTCATTCGTTTTCTCAGTAGAATGTATCCCTTTTTCGGCATATTTTAAAAGAGCATGTACAAAGACAGGTTAATGAATCATAGTTTTTTTTCTGTTTACTTTGCCAGTTGTTACCTTTATCACAGTCATTTTCAATTTATATTTCTTTGCATCGGTTGATTTGTTACCTTAACATGTAAATCTCATCTGTTTTTGTTACACAGATATGTTATATGAAAAACATGAGAGGGAAATATACCGTATTATGTATCACGAATTGCAGTTGTTCGTGTGTCTTCTAAACGTAATCACACATCTTTCTTTAAACTTTAAGATTTAATGAAAACAGGAGACATTTTGCCTGGACTGCAATACAAAACTATAAGACGAAGAAGCACAGGCAACGCCATGACAGGAAGCGTAAAGGAAGAAAAAATGACTCCATCAGGAATTTACAGTGAACTCAAAGCCCCCAGTTCCAACTAACAATGTATCCATCACCAAGCTATCAATTGATCCCGATCCATACATTTGAGTAAAGAAGGTACGAACTATCCCCGAATAGAAATCTAATGTCATACTTTAAAACCCTATATTATAATAGAAGACAGGTAGGAATAAATAATTGAAGTAATATTTTATTGATAGTAACATACCATTTTCTGGCGCTGGAGGAACTTTTCCAATTTCTTTGAGCACAAATGCGTGAACATCATGATTTAAAAACGTTCTGAAAATAAAAGAAAATATTTCTTTTTAATATGCAGCATCATTAATATGACACAAGAGTCATTGCTGCTTCTCAAATATATACATGTCGTGTCATTCTAGTATGTCATTATATCGTCAACTCACTGGATGATACGCCCATTTGTAAATTGTTAATATTTGAATCAATAAAATACATGTACTAATAATCATGAATTCATACAAATGTTGGTAATCTTATCATTATTTAAAAAAAAAAAAGAATGACTAACAATGTAATATAGAAGCCAGTAACCAGCACTGTCATGATTTAAATGTTATCATGTCACAACAAAGAAATTACATCGATCACATTGTTACCATTTGTATGTAAGATAATGTTTTTGTAACAAAAAAAATAAAAACAAAAACTGGCGTCAATACAGTGACTTTCTAGACAACGCCTTACTTCATAATATTTAGAATAATAGCGAAAATGCAATCAATTTCTGGAACTGTATGGCTAGCTCTTGAACTGTATGGCTAGCTCAGAGTTTTGAAGTTGCCACTATCAGTTTGTTATACTCGTCCAAAGCACAATTAAGAATTTAAAAGAAATCCTCATTTATTCACCATCCCACGTTTTAAGCAAACACATTTAGCGGTAATGATGTAGAGTTATTGCAATAATTCTTACAATAATGTCCCTTGCCGTATACCGTTTTGTAAGAGGTTGTTTAATTGATTTTAAGTTAAATTTTACAAAGAATTTTGCTTAATATACTGCATATAATGTTCCCAGATTTTGCATACCAGATGAAAATTGTTCGTATTTCACCCTATCAAGCGGAAAAGCGTGATCGTTTGTGCACTTTAGAAAATGCAACTGCTTTTGCTAACATCTTGGTAGACATATAGGCATGGCGTGAAAATGATAGAATAAAACCTAAAAAGTTTAACTTAACCATAGCTATTGATATTATATTATGAGTAATTAAACAGGTGTTTTGGAGGGGACTTTGATAAAGATATTACTTACTCTCCAGACATTATTTCCATCGTCTCCAAAACATTATATACATGTATATCTATATGTTCGACATAAATTATAAACAATATTACAAATGTGCATGCTTCATTACATTAAGCTATCTACAATAAAACAAGAAAACTTAAATACACGTAAAAGATATCTCAAGAGACAATACATATCTGAAATATTTAAATTACACGAAACAAAATATCATATCATGATACAGCTGTTATTTTTAGTTCGATGGGTTTGTGAAATATCTTATTTGTTAAAAAAAAGTGTAGGATTTCTTGGCGTGCACTTAGAATTACTTAATTAACATTTCTAGTTTTCCCATTTTGGCAATACTTGTAGGTGTATAGAATTAATTTGATGTGTAATTAATAAAACTACAGGGACTTATAGCTGTCAATAAAATGAATTAACAAAATGATTAGGGACATGATTGAATCGACCATCTTCCATTACCATTAAGTAATTCTACAATTCGTTATCTTTTGTTACAAATGTCATATAATGAGTAAAAATAGTATTGCCCTGGTTGTGACATTTTGTACTCACTTAACGGTTCCTTATAGGACATTAAGGGAAAGAGTTATGAATAAGTTAAACGTTGATGAAACAGCAACTGAAAGCAAACGTCATTATTGTCCAAACAAGAAACAAACTCAAGATGTCGGGAGCCACAGAAGCTCGGGTTTATTGCGTCTATGTATATAGAGAGTCCTAAAAACTATGTTTCAAAATCAACTATTATAATATAATTATGTTGACATACCAATGTAATACCTGGAACCTTCTAAGTAGTTATGACGTTTTACAATTATGTTGAAATATTCTCCACTGGACTTTAAGGAAACAACAATCAAATCAATATGAGGAACCTGGTCAGTAGCTGTCATGAGTTAACAATCATGTTGAACTGTCAATTCAATGTTTTGAACATTCCTATGAAATATTTTGCCTTTGTTTGAATTTCGTGATGATGCAATATTACAAGTAGTCCCTCGTCAGTTTATCCTCAATTTGTGTGGGCTCAGTAGGATTTTGAGCTTCACATATGTTATCGATGCTTGATAATCTTTTAAGACTATATTTCTTTGTTTTTTGTATGTATAAACATAAGCAGATGCTGTATGATTACCAATGAGACAACTATCCACCAAAGTTCAGATGACGTGTTTGTAAGCAATTATAGCTCACCGTACGGCCTTCAACAATGAAAATAATCAATATCGTATTGTCAGCTATAAAAGATCCTGACTTAAAAACTCAAACGAGAAAACTAACGGCCTAATTGATAACAATTCAATTTACGAAAAACAAATACGACAGACATTAAACAACGACACCCACTAAATTACAGGCTCCTGATTTGGAAGAGGTAAATAGAATGTCTCGGGGTGAAATATGTATGTGCGCGCTCAATCCTTCCCCTATCCTTGGACAGTGGTGTAACAGCACAACATAAGAACAAACTGTAAAAAATAATTGCAAATGACATTACTCAAAAGACCGGTACGAAGCACAAACAAAACCAATGAACACAAATCTTTAGATACAAAGCACCGATATAAGAGTACTCACAGGTACTGAAAGATAGTAAAAAGCCAACTACAACTTATAATAAATCATGTTCTCCCAAACCAGTTTAGTATCGATCAGTGCACATCAAACGGATTTATTTTGGCAACGTCATAAACAGTCTGAGAAACACATGACCTTGCGCAATGCCAAACAAATAAGTAAACAGTATCGACAGGATTTAGGATCCTGAGTACCCATAACTGTACATATATATTTAGTTATGTTTTGATTTTTCAAAAAAAAAATTAATGTTAGTACTGATAAAATAATATTTAAAGATATTACTATGGAGTTAAATTGATAACCTCGAAGAAGAAATTTTTTTTTAAAGGATCAATGGGTTTCCATGGATCGTATCTAAATTTACGGGAGCTATAAACAACATCACTGTATAAATAAGGATGTAACATCCAGTTTTGATAAAAATTTTAACAGCCAAATTTAAAATAAAAAACAACAAATATTTGTATCTATGAAAGAATTTAGTAACAGTTTTATTGAGTTTGGCCATAAATTGTAATTCATAACAATATAAGAACAAATCAGTTATTCAAGAGGCGCAATTGGTACACATGGGAATGCCTACAACCTATCGATAAACTTTATTGCCTGAACGTACATAAATGTTGCTAAGAAGAAAGTGTACACCTTTAATCATCTAAGAATAGTTCCAGTCAGTATTTCTAGCATTTTCCATTACAGAAGAAGGTTTTTATGAGCAAATAAATCAGTGTCTCGTTGACGTTTGTTTGAAATAATTAATAAGTGACGAAGTAACTTCTTTGTGTGTGTGTGTGTAATGCTTTTACCATGAAATAAAAGTAATATTTGTTCACCTAATTCAGGGTCCTATAAACCACAAAAGAGATATCTTTTTTATATTGTCTGCTCCTCAACGAAACATTCCACATTCAATTTTGTTTGTATAGTCTATTTTGTTATATTTGTAAAACACGCAAAAAGATATTTTGATTTATTCATATGCAACAACTGCAAGCTAGATGATATAAACAACCGATTATAATGAAAATCGATGTACCATGAGCCCGAAAGAATTCATTTCTACACCAAACTAAATATCAAAATAGAAAACAAGAAATTTGACATTACAAATGCATAAAATATCTCGTTATAGCGTGTTTGACGAACGATTATATTGATAACTTTATGTTATCAAAAGATTCAAACAATTATTTTTACTTTTTGAGTCGAATACTCTTTATCATTTCTTTAGATATTTTTTTTTAATAAACTACTTTAATTAAATTCAATGAGAGGAATTATATTTCCTTCCACGAGGAAGAAAAGGTTGTTTAGTACAACTGTACCCAATATGTATTGAAAGCAAAGTTAATGAGATATATTCTTACAACCTTTCAAAAAGTACAAAGACTTTTTGCTTTGTGCTGCAATAATGTGAGTTTATGGTATCAAAAAATACTTTAAAACACTTACGAATACAGACGTGCCCTCCAATTAAGACATTCGATCTTTATCTTCTGGTTGCCCGGGGCCTGGATTAATATGACAAAGATGTAGTTATTATTGGGATTGCGTTGCTTAATTCTAAATCAAGTTGTTGTGTAGTTTTTTTTTCTGTTATTTTTGACGTCGTCGTTCTGAATATGTATGGAACAATTGCCAATAGACGTTAAGCAAGAACCAAGCAATCAACCAATTAATATTTTGTCCTATGTGATTGCTGCCTTGGTATCTATCCCCTTTCTACATGGCTTATAGAATGGATAAATCATAAAAAAAAGTAGCGAGCTTATAGATAAAGCAGATGTATATATAATACTTAAATCATGATGATTTAATTTATATTTATGTGAACTGGTACGTCAATAAGCTTTGGCTTTTATTCAATGATTTTTATATTTTTAATATCAGACTATAATGAGTATCTTTTTAATATGCTTTATAACAAGAAGTTTTATACAGTTATTGTTGTTAGAAAACGAGATAAAACGAAGTGATTCGTTATCTCAAATCTTCCCCCAACCCCATAACTGACAGATACGAAGAAACACTTACTGTTTCTAGTACGATGAGCGCATCAATTTTAAACATACGATATTTTTAGTAACTCTGTTCAAAGCAAAATGTCAGGAGAACGTGATGATTTATAGTTACGCTTGGCCTTTCAATGCTCCTCGTAACTGTGTAAGGTTTGTAACAACCCATTTATATATGCTGTAATTCTCAAAGTAGAATGGAACGAATATTTATTCTCACATACAAACTGTTATACTATTGAAGAATTAGTAATGAAAGGTTCCTTTGATACTTTAGTCAGAACATGTGTCGGATATAAAACATTTGATTACGTATGGTACTGGGGTTTGATTTATGCTTGCAATGGTTGGAGTCGATCTTGTCGGCTTTCAAATCCTATCTTTTGCCCCTATTGATTTTCTTTG